GGGGGGTGAGAGCGCGCTCTGTTCGGTTCACGCCACTTCGACCTTCCCTCATTCCATTTTGCCCCCCTCCCCTGCTCTCTCTCTGCCTCTAGGTTGTCTCTCGTCTCCACTTTCCCAATTTTGCCTCTTTTCTCACCGCCTGACTCCTACAAATAGTCTATTTTTTTCGTTTCTGCCCTTTTCAATCCAAATCCTTCCTTAACATCTGCATCTCCTTTTTAACTCCCTTTCTCTTTTCGTTCTTTCTTTTGATTTCTATTTTAAATTCGTCCAATTGCTCCTCTCCAACGGCTTGTCGTGTGTAACTTCTCTCCCTGCATTACTTTAATTTCCCATTTTTAATCTTCTCCCATTACTTTATTTTCCCTCTGCCTCTATTACCCCTTTTCTGTCCGTTTCTCTCCTTGACGTCCTCTCTGAGATGTCTGCTTCGTCCTTTGGCTCTTGTCCTATGCCACTTCTCCCGCTGCCACTGGCGCTCACTGCTATCCTCTCCTCGTCAATGCCTTCGACATCTACCACCTCTCGTTCCAGCCCGGCAAGGTCCCTTTTTCCTACCTCGCTTAATCGTTGCACCCCGACCCTTCTCTTCCCTCCGCCCCCGCGCCGACGGTCGCTGCCGCCCACATCGTCGCGTGCGCCTCTCGGCCCTTTTTTCCGAGGGCAAAGAGACCGTTAGAATACAAATTAATTCAGAGCGAACGAGTTGGGTGCCGCTGTTTACAAAGGTCACGCTCCGCTCTAAAATGCATGTGCTGTTAGCCTTCGAGGTTGGTGTGTCGACGTTCGTGAAAACCGATACTGCAATGGCGATTTTAATGCGGAGTTGCAAGTTCAAGGCCTCCTAGAGACGTGGCGGTGGCATGGCATGAAAGCGAGATCATGTGGCCGTCAGGAATAACATTTCAATATTGACATTTGTGAAGCCAGTTGCGCGTGTGAGAATACCTATTCCCAGAACGCACCACATTATGAATCAATTAGTGTTGCTCCTTATGACAATATTGTACTTACAATCTTCTTGGTTTTGGTTACGCATATTTTTCGAGTTTAAAAGGAAATAATGAAATCACATATTGCTAAGGAAAATGAAAAAAATAATGATGTGTGGTTTTTAAGTAGATATAGAAAAGTTTTAATTTGTGTTAATTTCAAAATGTACATGAAGATAGATGAGACGGTTACTCTTTTGCAAAAAATCTTGCAAAGATATTCATTTTCTTGGGCGGTTGGAAGAGGTTCTTGAAAATTGCAATTTGAACATTAATTCACTTAATACATTTTGTATTTGCATGTTTCGTATTATAATATTTACGTTTCACTTAACTTCATTGTTTGTTTTAGTAGTAAACTTTAATTACACATATCTACACTATGTTTTTTTAAAAGGAATTATTTTTTTTAATGTCAGAAGCTACTAGGTAGGCGCTGAACGCAGAGATTGTCAGCTAATGAGATATATGTTAACCATCGGAAAAAAACAATATTTTACTTGTTTATATTATTTAATAAGTATTTGCCCAGTTATACGTATCGAATGAGAACATAACTTTTTATCAACACTTCCTACGTGTCAATCAAAATACAAGGAAGAAGTTATTTGATATCGTTAGCCAGTGTTACGAAACGAGCGTAGAATATATTGGTGCGTCACAGTTATGCAACAGAGTGATTGTGAATGGTTGGTAGGATTTACGGTCTTATAATATTTCATGTTTATTTTTTACTAATACGTTATAGCTTATTATTGCCTTCGGTACGGAACTCGATATGCACTGGATCGAAAGGATTGTGGCTACGTGGGAAATATGAAGAAAGTTGAATGATGCTACATATTCTCTTACGAAGGGAATTTTGAGAGGAAATCATGAATGGGAATTATGGGAGGGAAATATAAAAAGACAAAAACCGAGTCAAGTTAACATATAATTAATTAGTAAATACGTCAATCGGAATTAATAAAAATAGGTAAAAAATGAAAGTATGTTTGTACCACGGGTTCTAATGATCTCGGGCAACAAAATGCCCGAGGGCCTTTGGTCCGATGGATTTTTGTCGCCCGAGGTTATTAGAACCCTTATAACGCCCTTGGTACATAAATTACTATTATATAACTGTCATCACAAGCGTGTGAAACGTGTTAGTCCTTTACCATTACGTGCTTGTTTGCATGTAAACGTTATCATCGGTTGTGAAAGGGCTGTAGGATGGTATTAACATCGCATGAGGAAAAATGGTCCAAGGAAATGTTCGAGAAAATCCTTTAAATGAATTTACTAATCCTGATTTGTAATAGAGGGGCGCATTCGTGGTCAGGAAAGTAAAGTAAAAGGAGCAAATGGAAGCACCAGACGTAGAGACAGAAATGGGCTAATTATGTTGGATATAGTCATTGTTCTATTTCCGACACAATGACACTGTGCACTGAGCTAACAAGAGCACTGAGCAAACAAGAGCACTGAAGCTAACGAAAGACTAAAGATTACCGTTTCTGGATATAATTACGTTTTATTTTCTTTTTTACTCTCGTTTGTAAAAGAAAAACAGTTGTTTGAAAGGTTTTGTATGATTTTTAAATTGAATTAGGTTGCGTTTCGATAAACTATATATTTATTAAATGCTTTTGTTTTCAATCATTTATTTTTAAATGCCAATGTCGAATGAATAGTTAATTTGCATTTAACATTAGTAATTAAATTAAATATAGAATTTTTAACTGTATTTTACATTTCGTATTTTAATTGTATCCCAATATTTCTTATTTTTCTAGTACCGTAAAAGTGCGACTTCTTCCAAATTTAGGGTTAGTTAGTGCCAACATCAGTGTTAATAATTATAACGGTACTAAGTGTAGAATCGCAGCGCTAGTAGTGTGAAATGCGTTTTCTAAACGATCCGGAAACTATCACAAAACATGTATGAGGCAGTGTTCATTTATTTTTAATTTAAGACAAATACCACAGGATTAAAGTAATTTGTTTTCTTAAGTTAGTTACATATAAGTTTTACTTTTGGTCATGATGTGATAAATTAATTTATTTCTTGTGTTTTAAAAGTGTCATTAAAATGAATGCCTCAATAATTACTAAGGGAACATTTCCAAAAAGCAATGTATTCGAACTTTTTTGTAACTGCCCAAAATACATAGTGTTCCTTCTACGCCCTTAAGTAATATCACTTTCAGTACATTTGTATTATTTAAAGTTAATGCGCACATTTCAATCACAGTCCATAGTAGTTTTACTGGACGTAAAGAATTTATATCTCCTATTACAATGTAAAACCACTTAAATACTTCGATGATTCTAGTGGCTCTACAACTCACATACTTTTTCCTAATATTGGTAACGGTTATGTAATATAATGTAACAATTTTTTTTTGTTTTGTTTTGTTTGGAAGTCTTCGTAAGCATTTCATGCCTAAGGGAATTAGTCTATTTGTTTTGATCCTCCTGTTATGAGTTCCTGAAATAGTAGATAAAATTAGAGATTGATAATGATAATAGGGACTTTCAGCCTATTCATATAAATAAAATAACTTTTACCACATGTGTCAAACACTAATTTTTAGTGAGCCTTAGTGACTTTCATTTTATTTTAATTCAAGAGTACAAATCTCTTAAGTACCTACCATATTACATTAAGATCAGTTCTAGGTGATAAGATTAGAAAGTATTTTGTTTTCTTTGTTGCATTCACAATCTTATATTAACATTTGAGCATCGCCTCACTTATAGTACTTGTGCTAAAGATAGAACTTTTAACACGCTTTGCATGACTTAAAAGTAACCGCTTTTTCTAGGGTCTGTCTAAAAAGCGTATTGTTGCACCCGCCACGTGGAGAGAACCAGAGGATCAACACGCGATGTTCCGTTATGTGTCTATCCATACTAAAGCGCCCGATAAGAAAGAATCGCAAATTAACGCATCATTACTTGTCTCGTCAACTGGATACGTTTTATTCAACGTAACGAATCTGAAAATAATAGATTTCCCAATGAACTGCTATATGCATTTCGATGGAAACTGATTAATTTGTAGTTTAGGTGATAACTAAATGCTCATTGATGTGAGCTATCAACTTCCACATATGCGATTCGGGTTTTCACAAAGAGAAGAAAATTATATATTGCTAATAAATGTCGTTATATGCTCGTTTATATGTATTTTTTTAAAGAATGATAAGTCTTAAAAGTAAATGAAATGAACAAATGAAACAGTGTTTAAAACTTATTGATATTTAGCTGCAAACCTTGATGAAATCTCTGTAACATCACTGAACTTAATGATTGCATTCATTTTTATCGCTATCTTAATTCGGAGTAATTTGAAAACGTGGGATGTACTTTTTTTTTGTAGAATATAAACTCGTGACTTAGGTGAGTGTTCAAATTTGAGCAATAAAATATGTAAATTCTTGTATTCGAATTACCTATTGGATTTTATTGACACTTATTACTACAAAAAGTTATTTTTGCGGCTATCTTCCTTTCTCTAAATCCAAAGAGCGGGTGTTATGTAAATGAATCATCATTCGCAGAATCCTCAATCGAGAGGTCAAGGTATGAAAACCCTAAAATTAATTTAAGCGAGTACAATATGTACAATAATAATTACAATATATATTCAATCATAATGTGAGCACTAGGAAGTCCTATACACTTCTGATCGTTCCATTAATTGATATAATATTATACGATAGTATAATATTATACGATAGTAATATTATACGATAGTTCATCATTGTGATCAGTATCATATACGACATAGATTATGCCTTTGCATCGAACCTGATTTCAGATATTTATTTTGAATGCATCATCGCGATATTTCCGCCACATTTCTTTTGCCTGGTGGGTTGTTACGCAAAACTTTGTAGCAGGAGAAGTGAGGTGTCCATTCACTGCAGTTGGACAAATCATTGAAATCTATTTGAACCTACTCTATAGTAGCCTTTATATGGTTAATTTTCAGGTATTATCTAATGTTTTAGTTTTTATTATGGTCCCGCAAATTGCAAATAGCGGTCTCAGGATCCTCATTTTAGGAGCTTCTTTCTTTGTTATTGTCCCTGCACAATACAAAAGAACCGAAACCGCCGTAGTCCTGATGAATTTCATAATATCTCTTCTTACTTTCTTATACAGAGTTCGCTTAATTGTACCTAGTTGTAGCAGGAACATTGAGATAGTTTGGTGTTGGTCCTTAGAACGATAATTTAATATTTTGTATTCCTGGTAATTAACTATTATTAATTCCAATCTTTCTAGGAGTTAAAATACTCTTTCATATACCATTTTCTAAACTATATTATCAGGCATTATTAAGTAAAATGAAGATTGCTCTTTGCAGATTTTATTATCGGCCTCCTACGATCATCTGCAAAACACAAAGATGTCTATGAAAGTTGTTTTCAAGTGACTTTAACATTATCTTGAATAAATTTTTAATTAGTAATTTGTGAATATATGTATATTATCCATTATAAGGTCCAGTGAATCTCTGTCACAAGTTTTATAATGCAAACTAATGTTATTAACGTTTATTAATTAAAAGAATTAGCGCTGGTTCAGGAAATTACCAGTAATATTTCTTTTAATGATTATTAATTACATAAATATTACAAAGATATTAGAATAAAAGTTAATTTTACAAATGCTATATTAAGGCTGCATCAATTTCAACACATAATGGTACTTTCACTAAATGTTGATTAACATCGATCTGAACTACTATCTTTACTACTTAATATACTTTTTAATCTGATTGACCTGGCAGCTGTTATAAACTTCTTGAACTTTTCACATGTAATTGACTTTTTCTACTCCCCGTACATCTTTTTAATTTGCATATAAATGAGCCTTTTTTAACTTAACTCCAAACGATAATTCAAAGTTGTGCGTTTGCCTTTAAACTATGAGCACACATTTTCTTACAATATGCGTAGAAATTGCAAAATTTAGATCCCTGAATATGTTTTTCTACTGAAGAAAAAATTTAAAACTAACCCGTGAGAGAGTTTTGTAAAGCACATGTACAACGCAAAAGGAAATCGTCAGAAGCTTCGTATTACAATAAATCTATAACAAAAAAAACTATATATATTGCTGATAAGAAAAATGTAGCCAACTGGAAACAGAGGAGATCGTAGGAAATGGGAAATGAATGAGCGGTTTTAAATCGTTTCAAACGAACCATCAAATTTGCAAAGTGGTACTCTGATGTTTTCATTGAAGATCCTTATGCTCATCAACGAAAACTAGAAACTGCTAAACGAGCGAGGAGGTTGAAGTGGATTGAACCCCAGAAATTGCCGAAACGACTCGGCCGAGAGCATAGGAGGGCGAGGTTGAAGAAGTGTAGTTGGCGTGTGAGGGGGGTTCATCTGTGTACGCGCGTGTGTCTGGGCCAAGACGAGTAG